CTCTGCATCTCTGGCACCTGCTCAAAACTGAGCAGGGGTCTGTTCCTGCAGCTCAGGGGAACAGACTTGGAGATCTCCCAGGAAGTGGTACCACCAGGATGGAGTGGCTCCCCCCGCCCCCATCCTTGACAGTGTAATGGGCTCACTTTGGACAAACCCACACAAAGGGGCATTTCCCCCACAGAGTCTGGCATGTGGAGGCAAGATTGCAGCCATGCACATGAGAGGCGACATGGAACCTGAGCTGGGGCACCAGGGACTGTGAGGAGGAGCAGTTGCCTGCTTGAATGGACTTAGTTTTGGGGCTTAGCCACCCTGATGACCTGTGGGGCTCTGGTGCCTCATGGACTCTGTGTGCCAGATGGGAAAGGAGGGAGGCATGGATAGACTTTCCCCTAAGGCCACAGTGTTGGGTCCATTTCAAGCCCTGGGCTGGAGTGCCTCCTGGCCAGATGTGCTGGGAGCACCAGGCTGGGCATCCACAGTGAGGGCCAGCTGGTCCCTGTCAGCCCCCTCTACCCTATCCAGGTCCTCAGAGTGCCTGCCCACTTGGAGCTGGTAGCCTGTCTGGCAGACAGAGGTGGGAAAAGCACAGCACACCCCCCACCTCCAGGCACCTCCACTCCCGATGAGCCAGACCTAAGTTGTAGCCTTCCTGGATGCAACTAGTTATGCCCTAGTTATGTGATCTTGGGCAAGTTACTTAGTGTCAGAGCTGCAGTTTCAAAAGGTGGGAGTGGTGATCCCTTCCTTATGGGTATTAAGGAGACCACAGGTACAGCATCTGCACACAGCAGTTACTCAATTAATGGCAGCTGTGTTAATGGTAACCTTGGAGCAAGATAAAAAATGCTCTCCCTGGGTCCCCTTGTGAATTCTGACAGGGCAATCTAGAGAGGCTTCCCAGAGGAGGTAGTCTTTGAAGTGTAGGGAGAAGTCTGCCAGGCAAAGACGGGAGGTTGTGCCACTAGAGATGGGCTCGAGAGCAGAGCTTCCAGGGGGTCTTAGGCATGTCAAAGAGAGGGTGAACAGGGTTGGAAGAAGGGGCCCAGTTCTTTGGCATTGGGAGCCAGTTCTGGAGGAAGGGTGAGCTGACTTGACAGACTAGGCGAGATCTTCCCAAACATCTCGGCTCTTAGCAACTTACTGTGGACACATTCTCCAGGATCCTGCAGAGCTGGCTTGTCCTGGCTCCTCCCCGGCCAGGCTCTTCAAGCTGCTTTGTGGTGTGGGGATTCCCAGGTGGTCCCACACTCTGAGAACTAGCCTGGATTTTTTTTTTCTCTCTCCCCCATGCTGGGATTGAACCCCGAATCTCATGCTGGATTCCTTTAATTTGAAATCTCTGGACTCCTGGGGCCTAGGGCTGGCCTAGGCCACATTCTGAGCTGGAGCCAAGGTTTTGGGGGAAGCAGTTTGGAGGCCTGGTCAAGGGCCTGCCTCTGGTGAGGGCTCTTAAAACAGTTTCTCCAGGCTGGTCCCTGAGGTGATAGGAAGCTCCTAGAAGAGGCTGGGGTGACAGTCCCCAGTCCTATCCCTGACTGAGATGGCAGCATAGAGGACCAAGGAATAGGGGCCAAGGTGATTTGGCCCCAAGCTGTATGGCCCTAGGCACATCACCTGCCCTCTTGGAGTCTTGGTGTCCTAGGCTAATAGTAGCACCCATATCACAGGGCTGTGGAAAAGGTGACATGAGTTAAATTCTTAGCACTCAGCCCAGAGCATGGCTCCTAGGGGGCACTTGATAGGAAGCTTAGCTGGGCAGGGTGGTGCACACCTGTAATCCCAGCTGCTTGGGAGGCTGAGGCAGGAGGATCACAAGTTCAAGGCTAGCCTTGGCAACTTAGTAAGACCCTGTCCCAAAATATAAAAAAGGCTAGGGGTGTAGCACAGATGCTCAGTGGTAGAGCACCCCAGAGTTCAATCCCGTGCCTCCCCAACACAAACACGTTGTTAGCTTAAGAAAAGGCAGCCTCGCACAGGGAAGCCTCAGCACCTAGTATCTGTGGGCCAATGCCATAGTCCCTCCATGCCTCAGGTTCCTGGCTGTAAAATGGGATGATTATTGTGCTGGTGGTAATAATAGTTCAGATTTTAGAAGCCATTACTGAGTTGGGCAGGCAGTGTCCAGCCACCTATCTTAGCTTGTTTAACGGTTTCCCTGCTTTGAGCTATGTGTGAGCAGGGTGGGGCCCTGGGCATCCCGGAGCTGAAAGTATGCAGGAAAAGAGGCCCAGGGAGTTGGTATTTTCCGGATGAGGCTAAACCTGTGCCTTTGGTTAGTGTGGGCAAGACCAGTGGATGGTGGAGGACTGGAGAGTCTTGAGGGCCAGTAGGGCCCACCCACCACTGCAGATGAGTCGTGGGGCCAGGCACCCCTCATACATGGCAGAGTCACTGACACACCCAGCCCTCAAGCATGTTTTAGTTACCATCCTGGACCTCAGTTTCCCTGTACATATAATGGGGACTTGGGTCTGTCCACCTCTTAGGTCCCTTGCTGCTCTAAGGGGTGGTGATGCTCCTGTTGCTGAATGTCTTAGACGGTGTCCACAAAGGTGGGGTGGTGTCGTCAGCCCACTGGTTTTCCTCCCTCCCGCACTGCAGGCAGCCTGCAGAGGGGCCCCTCACGGTGCTCTCCCAGCCCCACTAGCATGGCACCTAGGCTGGGGTGGGGACCCAGAGGGTTTGGCAGCAGGGTGGTCCTCAGGGGGCATCCTGAGGGCCCTGGGCCATCCAGTACCTTGTCATGTACTGCATGCTGGGAATACCCAGGTGCGGGTGTCTGCAGGGAGCCTCGTGCAGCCGGCAGCTAATTGCACGAGGACCCGGCAGTTCACTCCCTCCCCAGCATTACCATCTTGGATCCAGCTCACCCCTGCCCCACCCACTGCTCTGGGGTAGGTGATTGGGGGTGCCCTTCCCTGAGCCTGGGGCTCTTGAGGCGAACAATTCCACCTCTTGGGGCACCTAATAGAAATGGCCTTTAGCGCAAGGTGGTAAAGTGTGTGGGATGCAGCCCCCCCCACGGGTGACGTCAGTGTCCCCACTGTACAGACGAAAAAGCTGAGGGCCCCAGAGCTTAGGGAGTTTGTTCAAGGTTCTTTTCACACCCAACCTGAGCAGGTTATAAAGGTGGGAGCCCAGAGGCCACCACGGGAGGAGGGGACTGGGGAGACACAAAACTTGGGCTGAGGTGGCACCGTACAGGTGTTGCTGCTGTTTGCCTCAGAGATGTGTTGAAAATGGAAGGAGCAGTCATCAGGCGTGGGGGCTACCCCACTTGGCATGTCCTTGAGGAGTATAAGCCACCGTTCCTCTGACCACAGTGTTTCTGCCCACCTGCACTTGGCCAGTGCATGGGGTTGCCTCCGGGCACTCCGGGGGTTGGAATCCCAGGCTGAGTACTCCCTGGGCTGAGCTTGGTTCTCTGCCTGTGTTTGGGGACCACCACTGCAGTCGCCTCACAGCATCCTGAGAAGGACGGGGTTAACGTGGCTAATGTGCTCAGCACTGCCCAGCACGTGGGAAAGCTACCGGAATATTCTCCCTTGTGGTTCTCTCAAGCCAGTTCAGATTCTCCTCGTTCACCCACTATACTGAGCACCTGCAGTATGCCAACCCAAGCCCAGGGAGCTTCCTCTGGTGCCTGGGCTAAGCCACCAGGCTTGGGCGGGGGGCTGAGCGTGTGAGGAAGAACAGCCTCTGAGCCTCTGAGAATCGGTGTGTTAGCTCCCACTGCTGGCCTGACAGACATCTGATGAAATATGTCACTCTAAAACAGTTTAAAAGAAATTTCTGGAAAACTCTCTTAATCCCACAGAGACCATACACAGCCAGAACTTAGGCTGTGTGCTAGTCTTGGCTTTTGCATGCCTTGCTAGGACCTTCCATTTCAGAGCTTCAGTTTCCTCATCTGTAAAATGGACCTGTAACTGTCCCGCCACCCCCCCCCCCCCCAGAGGGCAGACTCTGTGGGAATTGCATGTGAAATGCATGTTGTGTGCCTGGAAGCTTCTGCTCCTCCTTGCTTACAACTGTGAAATCTTTTGGTTTTGTTTCTGGTCTTTCACGTGATGACCATGGGCAGGTCCTGTGTGGTGTCATGCTGTGCGCTGACTGCATGTGGACATCAATGCTATGTCAGCTCTGCTCCCAAGGCCTCCCTGAGTTGGGGCTTCACTAAAACCCTGAACTTTGTAACTTATGGAGAACATGAAAGGCCTCCTCAGGCTGCCTTGTCCCCGGGGGTGAGGGTAGTTCTGGTTCAGGCTCATCCTGTCCATTAGTTCGTTACAGAGGGTTTTTGGACAGCTCCCTGGGCTGGGCACTGGGCTGGCTGGTGGGGATAAGGCCCGTTGACCAGAGGTTAGCCCTGCTCTGGAGAGCTCATGCCTGTGACCCTATCGACTTGGAAAGTTGAGGCAGGAGGATCAAGGCCAGTTTGGACACCTAATAAAACAATTTCAAAAGAGCTGGGGAATGTAGCTTGATGATAGGGTGCTTGCCTATAGATGCCTGAGGCCATGGGTCGGTCTCTCTCTCTCTCTCTCACACACACACACACACACACACACACATACACAGAGTCCAGGAGGAAGGATGCAAAAACACCCCAATGAACAGCTGACTGGGGTGCAGGAGTGGCTTGACACAGCATCTGGGCTTCCCAGAAGGTCAGCTACAGGGCAGCAGGCAAGATGGCTTAGAAATTAATATTGGCTTGAGTCCTCTGCTCAGAATCCATGGATCCTCCTTCTGGCCTGGGATGAAGTCCCAGAGCCCCTATTGCCTGCTCCTCCCTGCTCCAGCAGCATCTCCAGTTCCTCTTTTCTCTTATTACTCTGGCCTCTTTCCCTTTTATGGAGACTTACTTGCTCCTTCCTGCCTCAGGGCCTTTGCCCATGCAGTGCTTCTGCCAGGCACTCTCTTCTAACCTCATTGTGTAGCCCCGTGGGTCATAAGTACAAGGACCACCAGGTCCAATGCCTGACATGTAATAAAGGCTCAGTGAGGGTTTATTGAGTAAATGAATGAGTACACAGGCAGGGCTTCATGGGGAAGGTGGCATTTGAGTAAGATTTGAAAGAGGGTAGCTTTTATCTGTAAAGAAAAGGAAAGGACATTTCTCCCTGGGGACAGGCAGGCTCGGGACAGGAACAGTCTGTTTAGTTGGGCAGAGACAGTCTGAGAGGCAGGAGTGAAGGTGGGAAAGGTGAGCTGAGCCAGATGAGGGCTTTGCCTTCCAAGACAGGAACAAACGTGAATTCCGTGAATTCTGGAGTCACTCGGTACCCACTGAAAACCACTGATCCAGGGAGAGTAAGGTCAAAGCTGGTTTGGGGTGGAAATGAGTCGGCTGCAGGGATGGATGGGCTGGGAAAAGAGGCTGTAGTCAAGGACTGGCTGAGGGTTGGAGGAGCCCCCACTCCTGCTGTGCTGGTCTTGAGGCAGGGCACACCTGCTTTGGCGGTTATCCCCAGGAGCTGGCGGGGAGACAGGCATCGATGAGGATCCTCAGTGGTGGGGCTCCTTCCAGAAGACAGGTGCCTTTTTAAGCACAGCAGGGTGGCTATCCTGAGTCCCTGGAGGGAGCGAGAGAGGAGGGAGCATGGGCATCCCTGTCTCTCAGCTCCCGCTGTCAGAGAAGGCAGCATCTAGGGCCACACCACACCTGCATCCTGGGCCAGCCTGTGGCAGAAGATAAGCAGAAACAGTTCTGTCAATGCTCAGGAACAACCTCCCCCTGAGCCTCTGTAGGGAGGCAGCAACCATGGTCAAGAGTGGAGAATCCAGGGACAAGGACCTAAGGGTAAAACCACTTAATAGCTGCGTACCTTTAGGCATCTTAGCAACTCTGACCTCCAGTTTCTCCAGCTGTGTTCTGGGGGCTGCTCCTGTCATTGTGAAGGTTGAGGTTAAATGACATATCTGGAGCCCCAAGCACAGGGGACACTGGAGGCTTAGGAAGTCGTGGCCATTATCATGGTTGGGTTTTTTCTCCACGATTTGAAATCTTAGCAGGAAGCTTGGGTTTCAGGCTTAAAAATGAAGAGCATGTCAACAAAACAGGATGGAACAAAGTCTTTTCCCAGCATGCCTCAGCATGTGGCACTGCCTTCCTGTGGAGCCCAGACAATGATGTGGCTAAAAGTCTTGTGCTTTCAAGCAGAAATAATCCCAATGGAAAGGAACCTCCCTATTGTTATCTCATGATAAAGCGAAGATGCAGGGGCTCTGCAGCCCACTAGCCTGTGTTCGGATTCCAGCTCTGATTCCTCCTCACTGCTCCGTGCCTCAGTCTCCTCATCTGCAAAATGAAGCAAGAACGTTAAGACAAATACCTCCACTTGTTAGATTTTTTACTAGAATTAAATGGGTTAATGCAGGTGAAGTGTTTAGCATGTGACTTTGCCACTACTATTGTGACACCATTTCATCTTTAACTCTTTATAGTGTTCTGAGCAACTTGGAGGTTCTGGGGCCAAAAGTCTGAGTTCAAATTTCAGTTCTGCCTTTTGCTAGCTGTGTAACTTGGGATGGATCTATTAACCTCTCTGTGCACCCATTCCCTGCTCTGTACAATGAAGACAATGATCTCTGCCTCAAAGCTTGCTGTGAGCCAGTGAGTGGCATCACCCAGATGGGGGACCTGACTTCCTGGCAGCACCAGGCCCTTCCCCCACAATCTCAATTTACAGATGAAGCAATTGAGGCTCAGAGCCATTGAATGATTGACTGAAAATGACACATTAGTGAGACCAGGCTGGTCCCCAGCTCAGTGACCTGTGTTGGCACCACCATGCCAGCAGCTGCTCAGGGAGAGTCCAGCTACCAGGCAGTGAGTGTCCAGGGGTGGAGGGTGACTTCCCCTGCTGCCTGGCTGCAGAGGTCTCCAGTTTCTCAGGTCTGCTCACCGGGGGAGGCTGAGGCACAGTGGCCACTATCTGTGAGGCAGGCCAGGTCCTCCAGGTATGGGGCCTGAGAGTCCAGCCCCCAGGCTGCCCCATCTCCAGGCCTGAACACATCACTGAGGGGAGAGACTGGGGCTGACCCTGCTGTCTTCTGGCATCTCTTTCCCTGTCCACCTGCTGCCCATGTCCATACCCATATTGCCTGTGTTTACTGAGTGTTAGGGAGCTCATGGTGAAGAGATGGCTCTGGAGGACTGGGTTCTAGCCCTGCTAGGCTTCTTCCAAGCCATGTGACTCAGGAACAGTTACTTAAACTCCCTGCACTCAGAGGTCTCATCTGTAAAATGGGGTGTGACATCAGTACCAACCTCGTCAGGTTGTTACAAACATTAACTGGGGTGATAAAGGGAAATCTGTCCAGCACCCAGTTCTTAGTCAGCTTGGAGTTCCCTGCTCTGTATTGTCATCATAAACATGTCATTTTGTGGACACAGTGCCCTACCCTGCATAGGAGGCCTCACACCAGACAAAGAGGTATCTCTGCCTTACAAATCCTCACAGTCTAGTAGGAGAGTTGGACGTGCACCAAGCGCGCAGGGTGATCAGTGGGAGCCACATCTTTGGCTCTGGAGAGCAGATGGAGGGGCAAGTTGATGAACAGAGGTCATCATGATACCTATGAAACATTCATGCTCAAGTGTGTCACAGATACAAGACCTTTCAGGGTTCTGCACTGGGTACAGCCCTCCTGGGCATAGCTGCTGGCTGTTGCCCACTATCTAATCTTGGCATTCCCTGGCCCTGTTTGGACACCCCTACCCCCAGCATTAGAGTCTCCTCTGACCCCTCACCCCCCATTCAGGGCTGGGAGCTTCACAAACTGCAGGTGCTGGGGTGGAATGAGGGGGTGCCCACAAAGCTCCACACCAGGCCACCCCTGCACTTTACCAGGGATAGTGTCTGGCTTGGGACAGGCCCAGCAGGATGCTGTGTGGAGTGTTCTCTGTTAACCAGAGACTTCTGTGAGTTACCTTCTGGAAGACTGAAAGCGGAGCCCCGGGCTCAGGCCTGAGAAGCAGGGCTTCCAGGCTTCCCTCTTGGTGTGCTGGGGTTGTGAGCAGCTGGCCCCTCCCAAGGGGAAGGAGATCCAGGGCTGGTGAAGGATCAAGGTGAGGGCTGTTTGCATGCTCAAGAGCCAGTGAGTGAGAGGAAGGACATCAGCCTGCTGCCTAAGGCACCAACACCCCGGCTCACTTCGCACAAGTCACTGATCTGCAGAGCAGGGCCAGTCTACTCAATCAATCGGTGCTGACAGATGGTAGCGGAATCAGTGACCTAGAGGCAGAAGGCTCCATTTGTAATCCCGGAGTGGCCCAGGCGCCTGGAGGAGGGCAGAGGAGTTTGTAATAAAAGGAGTGACATGGGTTTCCAAAAGTCATCTTTGAGCCAGAGGAGGAGGGAAAGGATTAATTTTGCTTCTGGAATTGATACTGATTCAAGTTCAATAAGAATTTTTTTTTTTTTTTTTAAGTGGACTGGGTTAGTAGCAGGGGGACAAAAGAACAGCTGATCTACTGTCTTTTCCTTAAAGAGTACACAGTCTGAAGGAAAACCAGGATCCATACATTTGAAACAACAAAAGAACAGAGATACTTATGTGACCAAAGAGGAAATTATTGAGCTTCTGATACTGTAGGACCCTGGGAGTAACTTAACCCCTCTGAGCCTCAGTTGGCTCCTGTGTCACATTGTGTCCACATCATGCAACTGTAGCTACTGTTAATATGTGCCTGGTACTGTACTGAATTCTTTATGCAAATCTCTTTGGAGTCCCATAGTACCTATGTGTGAATAATAATATCCCCATCTTACAGGTGAAAAAACCAACATTCAGAGAGGTGAAGTAACCACCTAGCATAAGAGTAACACATTTCTGTCTGTTGTCCATGATGCCTGTGCATATCCTCCCAATGATACCAAAAGGGAAAGTCACTAGAGGCCAGAAGACTTGGCTTGAACTGGGTAGTTTCCAGGTAGAAGTCATCTAGGCAGTGTCCAGCAGGGTCTAAAAGTGGGGCCAGGGTCGATCTCAGGAGGCAGGAATGCCCAAGAGCCTGGACCCAGCAATCTGTTGCATTCTTTCTTGAATAGGGCTCTGTTGAAGCCTGTCTCCTATCCTCATCCCCTAACCCTTAGACCAATGAGTGAAGGAGGGATGATGGGGCTGAGGAAAGGGGCTTCCCTTTTCCTTGTGAATTCTCTCAAGCCGAGGGTGCCCCCAACATGGTTTTTAGGAAGCTCCTCTGCTTCTCCTATTTTTGTTCAGAAGGCGTGAGCCTGCTGAGTCCTGTTACTTTTGCTTCTGCAGCCCTGACCCAGGCTGAAGCCAGGCATTGCTCTTTTTAAAGTCATTGTGCCTGAGAATTTGAAAATGAAACTCACAGACGAACAATGGGAACAGCCAGAGGGAAGGGCCTGGTGGCCTGTTCAGCTTTGCCCCGGAAGAGTTTGGCACCCTGCCTGGCATGCAGGAGATATTGGGAATCAAATCCCCAGGAATAGTCCTGACCTGCATTGGAGCCGTCCCCCACTTTGACAGGTTGGACAGAAGCCAGGGGAAATCACTGCTTTCCCCAACCACATCCTGCCAGGGTGCCCAGAACTACTCCAGGCCCTCCCTGGGTGGCCTGAGGCAAAGCAAAGCATTAACTGCTCTGGCCAAATGGGGTGAAAGGTGAAAGGGTAAATCCTGGCCTCAGGGAGCTAAGTAGCTCAAATATAGTGAGGTACCCCAGGCCTCATCTGCTGCCAGAAGCACTTCTCCAGTCCTAATGCACTTTGAAGTGGGGCTGCTTCAGGACAGGGAGCCACATACTTCCCTAACATCTACAACAGATATTGGCCTAAAAATCAGCTATTTTAGCTCACATTAGGGTCATCTAATTCAAACTCTCCTCCTTCCCATTATACCATTAGGAGACAGGCAAAGTAGAGAGAATTTGGCCAGGTCACTGGGCCAGTATGAGGCAGGCTACAAATACTCCAAACACGTCCCATCCTTATTGGCCTCGCTTTGTTAGAAGGTCCCATGGCACCACCATGCACACGGTGGTTTTCTACAACAGATTTTCTTAGTGGAAAAAAAAAATACGTCAAGCCCTTCTTTTGCTCTATAAACACATCAGGTTTTCCAAAGAAGGATGGGCAGGGGCTAAGGTAGAGGCACTGCAAGTCTCCCGAGTCTGTCGTGGACGCTGGGTCCGGCCTGCCAGACACTGCAGCTTCTCAATGCCGCAGCTGGAGAAGTCAACTGGCATTTGTGGAGCGTCTGGTAAGGTAGGTAGCCCGGCCTCCCTCCTGCTGCCCCTCGCTTTTACTGCGGAGGAAAAAGAGGCTCAGAAGGAGCAAGTCCAAAGAAACTAGGCGCCATGGAGCTGAGGCAAGAGAACCAGGCCGGCCTGGCACGGCCTTGGGCTCCCCAGGGCCAAGGGTGCTTGGCTGGCAGGACCCGCCCGACTACACCGTTGCGGGGAGGAGACCCGGCCCTCGCCCGCGGCCTTCCCCGGGCGGCTGAAAGGCGCGACTCTGGCACTGGAGGCTACAGGGAACTCCAGAAATCCCAGTGAGATTCCAGGCCACCAACTCCCCAGAAAGTTGGCTCCCGGCCACCCCGAAGAGGGCCCCGGGCGGGCGGCGTGCTGCGCTCAGCAGCGTTAGAGCCCACCCCACGCGACCCTGGCCACCCCGCTAGAGTGTCGGCGGCCTCCGCGCGGCGCGCGCTGGCCTCGACGCCGCCGCACGCGGGTGGGCACGCGCGCGCCGGCCCCGCCC